TGATAAGGGACCTCTATAAATAGGAGGGAACCGAAGACCCATAGGCTAGAGCCTCTTTGGGTTATCATCTCCTATTCTCCTCTCCCCTTCTCCTCCTCAAATAGTAAGCCTGGAGATTTAAGGAGCGTCGTCACAGCCTCAGTGTGTTGATCACTGCCAAAGAGGATGACGCTTGACTTCCTTCATCTTCTCCTATAGATCTATAGGGATTCAGAGATATACGATCTCCCTATGTAACATAATCTATCTTATACGTGGCTTTTAAGTTTCATGAATTTTACACACCAATATTCGCACAACGACAAACACATCTTTGGGTAAATTATGGATTTTGTTTTTATGTTCTTCCGCTGCGCATATGATGTCGCTCCCTAGACTTTCCTACAATAACACCGTAGTAGTTTTCTTCTCTAAGAATGATAAGTACTCTAATGGTTCCAAGCACATCGTGATAAAGTACTTATGGTTAGAGAAAGAGTCAAGAAACAATATGTATTAATTAAGAACCTAAGCATCACTATGATGATTGTTGATTTACTTACCAATGCTTTGCAGTGTAAAATATTTAAAGAGCATGTTCTTAGAATGAGGCTTTTGAGCTAGCCATAAAAGATATGGTGATGCATATTTAAGTGGATGCTATTATTGATATTTTTTTGCTTAATTAAAGTTATTTATTTCTGTTATCCTATTTATATTTATGTTTATGCATATTATAGTTGAATATAATAATATGATTGTTTTGACAAGATAAATTACATGGGTCATTATGAACTATATTAAGAAAGACTAACAATATTATGGTACATAGAAGGGAGTATGACATTGATGATATACAATTGCTATGACTCACATTGATAGTTGGATTTAATGTAGTATTATTATGTTTATTTGACTTATTGGCTTATTTTTAAAATTCATAGCCATGTATAAAATACTTTTCAAAATTCTTGGAATCCAATTAGGTAAAATTATTTTCAAACAAATTTTATTTTGTTTATTTAGATTTTGAATATCTTTTATATTTTATCGATTAATGAGCCAAGTGGGAGAATGTTAGATTTTATGATCCTTTATAATTGGATAAGATATATAATGGAACTAATTAGATTCTGATGACATATATTGGCTAATAGAAACGAAGTTTATTTAATGTATGATTCCTTAGGGGATACCCTTGATGAGAGGAACTCTCCTAATAATTTATTCTAGAGCTTTTGCTCTCGCCTATAGATAGATAGGACCTCTAGGGACTAGATGATAAATGTTATGTATCTTATAGAGAACGTAGTTGAGATATTACAGTTTTTTTCTCAACCCTCCCTGAATCATCAATCTAAATAGTCCTATGAAAAGGATAGGAGAGAAGAGAAGGAGAGTCTAGTTCTCCTTGCAAATTGATAGTGATTTTAGATACGGTGCCCTTGTAGATCTCCTTTTCAGATGGCATCAAAAGGTACATATCTTAAAAACAGATCTAATATTATTTAATTTCAATCCTAGCATAAAAGATTGTTTTCGTATTACACATAGCATATAATAGTTTTTATGCTTCCTGGATTGGCCAAGCTAAACTAAGCAACTACAATGATGTGCTGTCGACTTTAATCATACCATAGTTAAGTCGATGGTTGTCGAGACTTTTTTGTCTTACATCTTAGTTTTGATTAAGGTAACTTCATTTCCCATCTCATTTACAAATAGAACATTATTTTATTTTGCAGTAACATATACAAATCGACAAACACTTGCTCATCGAGAATACATTTTCCACAAGAAAATAAACTTTGATTCAAGGAGTCAGTCAATTAGGAAGCCTCTTGAAATAAGAACTTACGGGGGTTATGGTGACGAGCTCGTGAGGGTTGAATGGATTCCCTTGACTTGAACGGGTTGGTCAATCAACACACTTGACCGGTAGAGGAGATCAGCGTAGAGAATTGCTTCAATGAGTTCACCCGGACCCAAATGCATCTTGTGATCTCCATGCCTCATCTCTAACCTGCGTTACCCGAGATCTTAAATCTCTGCTAAGTAAGTCCATGTTCTATTCCTACATTGATATTGAAAGAAAGAGTGTGTGACTCATTTCCTTCTCCCATCTTATACCTTAATGATCCCTCGCCAAGGATGGGTAGAATTTCTTAGCTTACTGAGGGCGAGAGAGAGAGAGAGTCAGAGATTATTTTAAAAAGTGCAACTTTTCCTGTTTATTGTTATTTCTGGATTGAGCGGGACGCAAGAAAATTATATTTAGTAATACCTGTGAAATTTTCTTTTTCACAAAGTACAAATGGCGAGACGACCTTGGTATCAATAGTGAAAGTGCATGCATGACTTGCCCAATAATTCTAAACTTGCCCAATAATATCCAAGAGTTAAAATTCGTATTCATTTGGAAAAAAAATTACCTATATTCATGGTGCTTAATTATCATAAACATAAACCAGAATTGAAATTTTCTTTGGCAAAATTAATGCTTTATGCATGTCTCCACATAATTTATTCTTTGCCTTCCATGTGGATCACTTGATCTCTGTCTTATACCATATAAATTTATGACGAAAAACACTAGATTATCCTTGATATCACTATCAAGCGAAAAAGCTTTTTTTTTTAACATTATACATGCCCAAATTCCTTGTTTTTAGACAATCTTCATAATTAAGCTAATTGTTATATATTTGGCGCTAACACTATGCATGGATTTCATTACCTTGGTCGTCTTTGTAGATTCTCTCTTTTTTGCTAAAAGAGAGGTGGTCTAAGTTGACATGCAAAGAAGAATCAAATCTCTAAATAAAGAGAGATCTTTATAATATAGTTTTCCCTGCAACTTAAGCAACTTTATAGGCATTGACATAAAACCTAGTCCTTTTTTCTTCATTTCCTTTTGAGGGAGGTGACTCGAATCATTTCACAAGCAATGAAATGGCAATGTGTCAAGATCAGCTCTCAACTTAATCATTTCTGTTGTTATCCAAGATTTCATGTTCATCAATATTCATGCAGAAATAAGTAGGTAATTCCTCCTCATTCATATAGCTAGTTGACATTAACTACAAAGTTCATAAGATCATTAAAGAATCTTTAAGTTGAAAATAATTAAAATTGTGAACTTGAAATATGTTCCTTTGCTCTTTTTACAGAAACTGCATTTCTGCTATATATCAATATACAATATTCATCAATTTGGTATATATCAATTTCTAGTTAGTTAAGACTTAACCACTGCTTATATTAATCATAAATATTCTATATAAATAGAAACTAGAACATACGTGTTCTCTAAAATAGAATATACAACGTTTTTTGTTGTATGATCTATCTCTTACATCACAAAGGAGCAAAGTTTGAGGTTATTAAATTAGAACACAGATTTCTCTAAAATATTGGAGAAACGTTTTTATGTTTGTGAGTAAGAATGATATAATTTCGTCATTGATAAAAGAAAATAATAGAGGAAATATGGAGGAGTGGTGATTGAGAAGTAGTAGAAGTACCATGGAGGAGAGTCCTCACACAAGTGCAATTTTCTTTTCACAATTATAATTTCTCCAAATTTAAATTCTCTGCACAAACAATACTATGAACCCCTGTCTATTTAGGGACACATTCCATAGGTTATATATATATATATATATATATATATATATATATATATATATTCAAAAGTTCATGCATCTTTTCATGATGATCATATTTTATAGCACCTTTTTATGGTGTCTTTTCCCAATACAATTGTATAGGATAACCAAATTTATTTTTCGAACATTCATAGGTTTCTTGGAAACAATCTCAAGAAGGATTAGGCATGCCTTGCTAGTAGTCGTTACAAACCTTTTCTCAAGAACATATCGAGATAAAATAATGAACAAATATAACAGAAAATAGCTGTAGAGATCTTGATGAGATGAAATACTTAAATTTAACATAAAACAGTGAGAGATGTGTAAGATTCGAATGACCATCTTATCTTAGTCATTAAAGAGTATTATTTTCTGTCCACGAACACTCGTTTAATGTAGGTATGTGATCTATCAAGTTTAAAGTAATCAAATCAAATATACTTAAGTTCAATGTTAGTAAGATCTTTTATCTTGCTTTGTCTTGCAGTGTAAGAGGAAGGTTTGCACCTCACTCTCTTCACAACCATCACATACATGTAGTCGTACGACTGTTTCTGATGCTGTTTTAGCTGTTATGATCTAATGAAGCTTCAAGTAGAATGCTCTTGAGTGCACAAAAGCTATGTCAAGATCTAGATTTTGCTTATCTGACAATTTTCCCAGAGCTAACCAGCTACTGGGAGTGAACACCTTCCTCACCATCTTTTCCACCGCCTCACAATCTCCTTTTCTTTATTAACCACACACACACACACACACACACACAAAAAAGAGCTTTATGGCAGGTCTATCTGCATCTGTTGCTTGATAATTAAGCTTGGAATCACAACTTGGCTTGTGCTCCCCATCTGGTGAAGGTGCTCCATCCCTCATCACACCATCCTTTTTCTCAGTGGGAAGCAAAAGAACAATCCTTTGCTTGGGAGCTGAGAATAAAGCCCCATGTCAATGCCCCCACTCTCAAGTCAGACCTTAAAAGAACTTCACTTTGATCAGTGAGCATAATAGTATCCAAGAATATCATCATATCCATTCTATGGATCAGAAACACATCCTGGTCTGGTGAAACTAATCATGACTACTAAGCTTACCCAAGATGCCTGGTAGAGTCCTTGGTTGACCTAGCTTTGAATCTAATTATGACTGCTAAGATCACCTAATTAGATGCAGTGAGCAATCCTTGGTTGACTTAGACCAGCATCTAACTTTCATGCTATGAAAAATACCAAGCTATCCTCATGCATCATGTTGTTGGAACTTCCACCAAACTAAGCCAAGAATTTGATTTAAACTTGAGGTGATTACGACTGTGGAGGGTCATGCAGAAAGCGGACTCCAAGTCATGAGGCTGAGAGGACTTCCCCTCCCTCCCTCCCTCCCTCCCTCCCTCGAATATATGAGGAGCCATGAAAAGTATTGCATGTTCTAGCGATGGCTGGATGGCTCTTCTTTGTTTCTGATAGTTGAGGGGAGTGTCGTCTGGTACGAAGCCATTGGAACAAACAAAGAGCAACTTCTCACTCCATTTCTTGTGCTGGCAAATGGTTTCGGACCAGGCTTCATTCCCCCTAACTAGTGGCAGTGGTTGTTTCTCCCTTAGTTTCTCCACAAGTAAGTTCGTTTCTATTTATCCATTTCTCATTAATATTGCACTATCAATTATTTTGGTGTGTTTTAAAGAGATTTGTTCATGAATTCAACTCACTGGCCAAACCGGTTGATGAATGAGACCTTCTAGTGCGGATTTAAGAACAACCTTTCTTTGTTTAGGCACAAGGGTTTGTTCAGTAGGAGGGTTAGAGAGTTTGGTGTGATAGGAGCTTCGACTTTCTTGTCAGACAAGCAGGAAATGGATTCTTCACAGTAGCTTCACTTCAAAGGCTCTTTGTTGCACTGCCATTATTGCCTTGCCCTAACAAGTGGAATAAAGATTTGATGCTTGCTTTTGCTTCTTTCTTTTGGTAGATGTGCTTCTAATCAGCTAACAAAAGAATCTGTAATTCATCGAGATGTGATCCGATGTTAAGGTGTTTTTTCTCCTCATACTAAGTTTAAATTGGCATATGCATCATGGTAGACGATAAAAGTTCGTGATACGATTTTTGAATAATGTTGATTTTCTAGAAAAAGATTGTTCTAAAATGAATTTATCAGCTTAAGAATGCTGACCAACAATAACCCATACAATGATTTGCTAATAGCATGTGGTGAAACTGGAACACAACTCAGGAACATAAAGCAAAGCACCTAAAACCCACCTTGGCTCATCATTTAAACTTGTTGTCGAAGGCTATTCAACTTGCAAGTGATTAGGTGATGGCATGGTTGGCATCCAACGCAAATAGGCAACAATTAGGTTGATACTATGCTTTGCTCGCCTGCACATTATCGTGCTCAAGTCTTGTTCTATATGTTATGATAATAAAGCACAAAGGATGAGTATCATAAATCTGCAGTTAGAGATAAATGGTGTAATTGGCTGTCAAGTTGGATTAAGGTAACAATAAGCAAATGGAAGTAGCGACAGGGAGAGCTGAGCTTTGGAAAAACCCCATATCATTCAACATGAAGAAAATGATACTTTCTCTCATCTTCCTGATTAACTTTAGACGAAGTTTTATGGGTGAAATTTTCCAATGACAAGTAAACTTTTGATCAAGTTGTAGGTAATATCTTCCAAAGACAAGTACTGAGTGGGACACTTTGAATGATGCACATATCTCACCCGATAGCATGAGCATAAAAACTATAATTATGCTACTGCTATATGAAAAATTGTAATGTTAGAATTGAAATCAAATAATGATAGATAAAGATTTATTATGCATACCTTCTAATATCGTTTAAAAAGTCTATCTGATTTATAGGTATACTGTCGTCGAATCTGAAATCTACGATGATATTAATCTACAAAGAGAAATAGATTTCATATTCTTCACAGGACCGACCATTATGAGTGAGTGATGGATTATAGACTAAGGGAGGAGATTGAGAATAGATCTATAATCTCAATAACTAGAATTTCATCTCAAAGAGATCCTATCCTTTTATAGATGAGAGTAGAGGATCTAGGATGATAATTAGGAGAATCTCTCCCACTAAGATCATCTCCTAAGAATCCTACTATAATTGGACTTTATTTCTATTGGTCGATAAAATTAATTAAAATTTAATCAAATCTATAATACATCTTATATAATTAGATACGACCATATAATCCAACATTCTCCGACTTGCCCTATTAATTGGTAAGATATAAAATAAATTTATAATCAAAATAAATAAATCAAAAGTTTTTTAAAAAATAATTTTACCTAATTAGATTTTAATTTTTTTTAAAAAAAATTTATACATAGTCATGAATTTATAAATAAGCCAATAAGCATAATAATACTACATTAAGTCTAATTACCAATGTGAGTGATAGTGATTGTATGTTATCAGTTTCATACTCCCTTCTATATACCACAACATTATTAGTATTTCCTAATGTAGTCCATAATGACCCTTGTAATTTGTTTTGTCAAAACAATCCTTTTAATATATTCAATTATAATATACATAAATATAAATATAAACAAGATAATAGAAATATATAACTTTAATTATATAAACAATAATATCAATAATAATATTCACTCAAACATATATCACAATATCCCTTATGGGTTACTCACAAACTTAATTATAAGAATATGTTCTTTCAAATATTTAAGAAGGCCTAGATGAATAGATCAGCAATTAATATAGTGAAACTCAAGTTTTTAATTAACACTAGTTATTTCTAGACTCATTTTCTAACCATAAAGTACTTTATACCAATATGCTTAAAACTACTATAATACTTGTTATTCTTTGATAGGAAAGCTATTGTGGTATGTCACAAAATTTCACTATTGAGTTTGATCATACTAAGTCTCAAGATGATATTTTAAAGTCATAAAACTTGATTAGTAATCTCAAAATATGCCATGAAATCAGCTTTTATTATTGATGATGCAATTAGCATTACACTATTCTTGTAAATTATCCCTCCAACTAATATAGTTATAAATTATAAAGTGGACTTCTTGTTATCGAAGTAATTTATAAATCAGCATCTAAAAATACCATTATTTCAAGCTGAGCTGATTTCCTATATGCGAGCATATAGTTTTTCGTCTCCTATAGATATCTCAAACTTTCTTTATAGCTTTTTAATATTCTATTCTTAAGTTACTCTGGTATCTATATATCATTCTAACTACAAAACTAGTATTTGGTCTTGTTCAGGTTTAAACATATAATAGACTTCCAACTATACATGCATTGGAAATATCCTTCAATTGATTCATTTATAAATCATTCGTAGGATACTAGCTTTGACTCAATATTTCACCTCCAATAATAAGTGTATCATTAGTTAAATAATGATGCAGATTAAATCTCTCTAAAACTCAATCAATATATCCTTTCAAGATAGTCTTAACAATCCTTGAGATATATTCTTTAGTATCTCAATGCCAATAACATAAGCTACCTCATTCATATCAACTATTTTAAAATTTTTAATGAGAAGTATTTAGTTTCAACCAATAAACGAATATAACTATTGATAAGTAAAATATCATCTATATATAAAACTAATATAATAAATTTAATTACATTAACCATAAGAATATTCTGATCCATTGATTTTAACTCTTCTTTAATTGTATCATGCAACTTTTCATAATCATTATTTTTTATGGTTTGTAAAAATGATAAGAGGATTTTTTTCATTCTTATATCATAATCTGATTCACATATGTATACCATATAATTATCAATAATGACATTCCTCATTTCCCTTTGAGATCTTCTCAAAACTAACGGTTGTGATTATTCTACAAGAAGATAAGGGACGACATCAATATCATGTGAGAGTTTATTAATATTATTTTATTATTCACTTTCATTAATTCTTTCAATGATTTGAGAAAAATAATTTCTTGAATAAAAAATTATAAAGAAGTATCAACTTGTATCTCCTCTATATCAAAATTTATCTTTCAAGATTTCTCACTCCTATTGATTTTATCATTTTATAGGAATCTTGCATTACCATATTCTACTATCCTCGTACGAGTAATAAAATTTATATATTTTGAATTTTCCTAAATAACCAATAAAATTCATAGAAATAGTTCTTAAATCCAAAATCTTTTTATATAGATTAAAGACTCTTATCTATAGACAACCTCAAATATATACATATCTGGATTTCCTACCCGTTCATAACTCAAATGGAGTTGATGAAACCAACTTACTATGAATCTTATTTAAGATTTAGATCATTGTCATAAGAGCTTTACCCTACATTGACTCAAGTTAAGAGGAATAATTTATTATGCTCCTAATCATATCCATAAGAGTACGATTTTATCTTTCAGCAATGTCATTCTATTATGGCACACCTAGTAAGGTACACTAGACAGAAATACGTCATTTCTTTAAGAATTTAGCAAAATGATCAAGAATTTAACTGGACTCATTATATCTACTATAAAATTCACTACAACTATCAGATTTGATAATTTTGACTTTTCTATATGATTTCTCAACTTCATTTATATACACCTCAAGAGTATCAACAATATAAGACTTTTCATATATTAGATACACATATTCATACCTTGATAGACCATCTATAAATGTGATGAAATATTTCCCTCTATTAAAATAAGAAATATCGAATGGTCCATAAATATCAATATGAATAATCTCAAGTTTACTTCTTGTGATAATTTTCTTTAGTTTACTTTTCTTTAATGCAATCTATGCAAACATCAAAATAAATGAAGTCTAAATCTTTCAAAATAATATTCTTCACTAATTTTTTAATTCTTTCATTAAAGATATGCTCCAAACATATATACCATAATATAAAATATTTTTTTATCATTAAAACGATATTTCAATACAATATTTGATTATAGGGTCATCAATATCTTTACAAACTCAAGATTCAAATTAATTTTGTATAAACCATCATACAGAATTCTAGAATCAATTTTTATTTAATCATAAAATATACTAAGTTTACCATTACTAAAAGAAAGATAATATCTAACTCATCAATTTTAGATAGAGAAATTAAATTTTTAAAAATAGTAGAAATATAGCATGTGTCTACAAGATCTATAAAATGATCCATCTGTAAACATAAGCAATAAGTTCTCATTGTTATCACCTTTCCTCGTAATAATGAATCTTTCATATTTTTTTGATTTTTAAGTTAAAGGAAACCCTTATATGTTATTGGTAATATGAGTTGAGGTACTAAAATCAATCTACTAAATATTAGAAGAAACCTCTGTAATATTTGATTCGAAATATATAAAAGTTAAGTTTAGATCTTTCTTTTTGAACTAAGTTATGCATTTAATATAATCCTTTTTTATATATTCTTTCTTGACACAAAAGAGGCACTTTACTATGAAGGCTTTCTTTTCATTAGTCTATTTATATTTCTAAACTCGATAAATTTATTTGGTGGATGATGCTTCAATCTTTTTTTTTTTTTTTGTTACCAACTCCTTAAGTAGTAGTCAAAATATTATAAGATCTTTCTTGCATTAATCTTAATTCTTTCTAAACATATATACTAGTTAGCTCTTTCAAGTCTTATTTATCCTTATTTATATTATAGTGAATCTTGAATAGGCCAAACTGAAGAGGAAAATAATTAAGAATGAATTGTATAAGGAATGTCTCGTATACATTCATACCTAATATTTTAAGTTTAGCATCCTTGTCATCTATATTAAAGATATGATCTTGAATTCCTCAAGTATCATCGTATTGAGCTATAGTTAGTTCTTTCATTAATATATCAACTAATAACTTATTAATAGATTTAAATATATCTTATATAGCCTTTAAATATTCCTATGCACTAGTTGCAGATGGTAGTGAAGTCTTGATATTATTTATAATTATCATTCTTATAAACATAAAGCTAAGTCTATTAGATCTTTCTCAAGAATTTATTTATTAATTTATTTCATAGTGTTTTTATCAAT